GAAAGAAAGAAAGAGAAAGAAAGAAAGAAAGAAAGAAAGAAAGAAAGAAAGAAAGAAAGACAAGGTCTTACTATGTTGCATAAGCTGGTCTCAAACTCCTGAGCTCAAACTTTCCTCCTGCCTCAGCCTCCCAAAGTGCTGGCATTACAGGCATGAGCAACCATGCTCGGTTGCTTAATTAAGATTATTAAGAGTAAAAGTTTTATACACACACACACACACAGTTTTGGTTAGAGTAATCCTTTTGGGCTTTGGCATCCTGTTATTTGAATTTGGTACATCTCTTTTGCTCTTCCTAAGGTACTATGAAATTGTGTGTGTTATTTCTTAGCTGAATTTAAAAAAATATGCATCATATTTGGTGACAAATGGAAACTGGTTATGTATGATATGGACATAGTTAAGAATAGCCATTGCACAAAAAACTATTTTTTCAAATTTATTTTTTACTTTTCTTGCTTGAAGAAAAAAATCAATAACACTATATGGTTTCCTCATAATAATATTGAGGTTTTAGAGAGAGAGTTGCTGCTTTACTTATTTGAAAAGTTGGGATCTACAGTAGTCTTCCCTTATCCACAGGAGATACTTGTATGTTCCAAGAACCAGAGTGAATGCCTGAAGTTGAATAGTACGGAGCCCTATAAATACACAGTAACATGTTGCTTAATGGTGGGATGCATTCTGAGAAATGGGCTAGGAGACTTCATCAGGGGAACATCATAGAGCGCACTTACACAAACCCAGATGGTATGGCCTATTACACACCTAGGCTATATATAAGCCTGTAAAGAATGTGACTGTACTGAAGACTATAGGCAATTGTAACACAATGGTAAGTATTTGTGTATCTAAACATAGAAAAGGTACAGTAAAAATATGGTGTTATAATCGTATGGCAACACCATCATATGTGCAACTAATCATTGATTGAAACATTGTTTTGTGGCTTATGAGTATATTATGCTTTTCCCATATACATATACTTAGGATAAAATCTAGTTTATATATTAGGCACAGAGATTAACAACAGTAACTACTAATAAAATAGAACAATTATAACAATATGCCAGCATCACTTCTCTTATGCTTTGGGGGCTATCATTAAGTAAAATAAGGGTTACATGAACACAAGCACTTCCATACCGCAACAGTCAATCAGATAATCGAGCAATTTACCAAGTGACTAACGGACAGAAACCAGCAATAGATATGCTGGACAGAAAGATGATTCACGTCCCGGGCAGGATGGCATGAGATTTTGTCACACTACTCAGCACAGCATGCAATTTAAACCTTATGAATTGTTTATTTCTGGAATTTTCCCATTTAATTTTTTTGGATTGTTGTTGACTGTGAGTAACTGAAAGTGCAGGGAAGGTGGGACTATTGTAATGAGAATTTCATAGGGTTGTTTTAAGAGATCAGTAGGATAATAGATGTGAAATGCCTACAGTGACTACACATAGTAGAATCATTACCAAAAAGACTATAAATGTAACATAAGACATAATTTTGCTCACAGGAAATTGAGAGTCACTGGAGCAGGGAAAAAATAATATATGCCATCAAGTTCTGCCCTAATAATTTACTAGATTCATTCAGAGGTAATAAACAGTTTCAAGAGGAGCATTGTAGATAGACTCACTAAAATGAAACTTTAGAATGGGTGCAGTGGTTCAAGCCTGTAATCTCAGCACTTGGGGAGACGGAGGTGAGGGGATTGTTTGAACTCACAGGTTTGAGAACAGCCTGGGCAACTTGGCGAGACCTCATCTCTATAGTAACTCAAAAAATTAGGGGCGTAGTAGCGTGCACCTGTAGTTCTGGCTACTTGGAAGGCTGAGGCGGAAGGATCACCAGAGCCCAGCAGGTCAACGCAGGGGTGGCCGTGAGTGTGCCACTGGACTCCAGCCTGGCACACTCCAACTCAAAGAAAAACAAAAGCCTGGACTCTGTGGCTCAGCCTGTAATCCCAGCACTTGGGGAGCCCAAGCCTTAGCCCTCGGTTTCGAGACCAGCCCCGACAACTTGGTGATACCTCATCTCTACAATAAACCAAAAAATAGCTAGGCATGATAGTGTGCACCTGTAGTTCCTACTAGTTGGAAGGCTGAGGCGGAAGGATCACCAGAGCCCAGCACGTCGACACTGGGGTGGCTGTGAATGTGCCACTGCACTCCAGCCTGGGCGACGGAGTGAGATGCCAACTCAAAAAAAGAAAGAAAGCAAGCAAGAAGCAAGAAAGAAAGAAAGAAAGAAAGAAGGAAAGAAACTTTACCCTTACAGTGGTTTTCTGGAAGCAGCAGACCCAAATAGAAGAAAAGTGGCAAAAAGTGGCAAAATATTTTTTTTCCTTTGGAACTCCTCTTCATGGCTGTCATTTTTCATATCTCTTTACTTGCACTGATTCACTCTGAGCTGTTCCTTTTGTTTGTTTTGTGTGTAGATTCTTTAAAGATTACTTTATTTCAATGTTAACTTGAGTACAAGTTGAAGTCACCGTCGGAGTATGCCTCCCTGCACCTGACATTCCTTCCTGAGGCAGGACCCCTCCCTGTGAATAAGAGGAAAGGCTTGGCCAATTATGCTAGACAAAGCCTCACAGCTGCTGAGCCCAGCTGGGAGGAGTTTCCTTCTAGAGCTGGGAGCCGGTACAATCAGGGGCTTGCTTTTTGCCACCTCTTTTTCTTCACACTGTGTCATTGAGAGGCTTACCTGAGATGGAGGTAGAAAAGGGGGTGTTGCTTTCTGCAGCACACACTCCCTGCTGGGAGGGCTGGACAGAACAGAAATTGGTCTAGCTGCCTGTCTTCTACTTGGGGCAGTTGCTTTCTAACCTCAATGCACCACTTATCCTCCCACACAGAATAGAACATCAGGCTTGACTCCTGGCGTCTCAGGTAGCAGCACAGCGGTATCCTCGCCTGATGGTCGTGGAAAGGGAAGGGGTGGTCCTTGTGTCTGGACCCCTCACAGCTGACTCACAGGAAGTGCTAGAGGAGCTTGGCACTGGGCGCAGTGGCTCCAGGATTCTGCCCCGCCCGCCTGCCCTCTCCCACGTCGGCTGTGCTGTATCTTCTGATAGAACAATGAAAGACTTCCAAGTTTGTTAAGACTCCCAGGGAAATTCTTTGGACTTCTCTAACAGTCTTCAAAATGTTCTGCCACCGACTTCCCCAAGACGCTGTTGTATAAAAACCCCTTCCTTCGTGGATTGCTTTGTCTGAAGATCCTCAGGGTGACCATGGTTCAGCGCTTTAGCCTCAGGAGGCAGCTATCCAAGGTGGGTCAGTAGCTTTGTGTGTTTGTGGAGGGGAAACTCTCACTTGCTTCCGCATGGTTCCTTTTTCTCTGCAACTGTTCTGTCAAGCCTGCGGTCCTCCGGCGTTAAGGAGGTTGGGGGAGGAAGCGCTGCCTTTTGTTCTTTCATCTGACAGACACAAAGCTTGAAGGCTGACTGCACTGGCAACCCCAGATTGTGTTCCCCTAAAACTGCAACTGTTGTCTGAATTTGGGTGAAGTTGTAGTTTGCTCCTGAGATAGAATTTCCAGAAGGGTGTGCATGAAAGAGATAATTGTGGGTTAAAAGTACGTATTTAATTAGCAATTAATCTAGTAGCTTGTGGACCAAGAGGAGAAACCCTTCTTGTTCTGTGGAATTAGTGCTTTTGTACAGATTTCACTATTAAACTGGGAAAAACTACCACAAAATAGTTCGGTGAGCAAGTCCTGCATGAAAATGTTAAAATGAGAAGTTGTGCTGAGAAACTTGCATACTTAATGAAGAAGTGTGTGAAAGCAGTGACTCATAAAGCAATTTTTAACAGAGATCCTATTGAAAAACAGGTTTCATGTGTGTAGCTTTTGAGGAAAAGTTATTTTAACCTGAGGAAAAGTTATTTTAACCTGAGAAAAATCAAAATAAAGATATAAAAAGGCAAAGCACTCATTTAAGAGGTGATGAGGATTTTATGAATCAGCTCCAGTCGTCACCAGTCTTCCTTGATCCTGTCATTGAACTCTCTTATTAGCTAGTGCAGAAACTAGTGTGAAAAAGAGTTGAACTTTATTTCAAAATCCTTTTTATTCTTTATAAGTTCTACTGTAAAAATGTAGCAGTTGGTGGCTAAATTGTGTCATAGTTCATTCCCTGCAGACAGAAGCTTAAACAAATAGAAAATCAGTGGACATTCTTCACTGCCTTGACTGTTAGTCAAAATTGTTAAATTCTGGAATGTTTTGTAATCTTAAGGGAAAAACCTATAGTTCTTCACAGGTGAACCCACCAGTGTAGATTATATACACTGTAGCAGGAATGAGCAAAGCTCTTGCATCCATCTCCTTGTCAAATTGCATATCTTTTTTGATTTACAAGCCTAACAGGGACTTTCTAGGAGTATTAAAATATATTTCTCTTGTTTCCCTTACTCCCCATCTCCAGTGGTGGGAAGGGGTGGGGAAAGGCTAGGAAGCCTCCACATCTCTTCTACACAATAAAAAGAATCATTTTTGTTACTCCTTCAATGTCCTCTAGTGCATGTATTTTCATATATGCAGTATACTTAAAAAGCAGAAGTTGTGTAGATTCTCAGGATAGTGACATTCCAGCACAAGAGTGAGATTTGAGAGCTAGATGGTAATTTTCTAACTAGAAGGAAGGACACTTTTGAGGGGACAGGAGCACATCCTCTCTGTGATATGAAAAAAATGATGTAAAAGGTATATTACATAAAAACACTCAAAGATGAAACTCTTTCAATTCCTTTTTTTTTGAGTTGGCGTCTCACTCCGTCACCCAGGCTGGAGTGCAGTGGCACACTCATGGCTACCGCAGCCTCAACCTGCTGGACTCAGGTGATCCTTCAGCTTGCTGGGCTCAGGTGATCCTTCCATCTCAGTTTTCCAAATAGCTGGAAACACAGGCATGTACCACCACACCCGGCTAATTTTTTGACTGATTGTAGAGATGAGGTCTCACCAAGTTGCCCATCCTGGTCTCAAACCCCTGGACTCAGGCAGTCCTCTCATTTCCACCTCCGAAAGTGTGGGAATTACGGGCATGAGGCCTTGCATCCAGCTTCAGTTCCTTTTTCTAACATTCCTCTTTCCCATGGATCCTAGAATGAATGACCAGGACCAAATTTGAGGAAATTTGTTGTTTGTCGAATTTGTTATTCTATTAGAGTAAATAACTGACAAAGTATTTTTAATTATTTTGGTCTGTGAGGCACTTAAATAAGAAGGTAAATCTGAATAGTTATCTCAGTGAGTTTGTTACTATTTTTAAAAAAATCTTAGCAAAATGTACTGTATTTCTTTATGTCTTTTCAGCATTATTTGAGAACAGAGGACCTGTTATACTCCAGTGTATGATATTTCTGGCACACATTGCACACTCAAAATGAAATTAATTTTTTTGTAAATCAAAAGCAGTTGACTAGCAACAATCTCAGATGGTTCCAGCTTCAGTAGCAAGAATTTTTTCTAATAAGAAATAATCTTCCACAACGAGTTGTCTTAAGATGATCTCAGAGTTTTATTTATTTATTTTATTTATTTATTTTTTTGAGTTGGAGTCTCACTCCGTCGCCCAGACTGGAGTGCAGTGACCGCTCCTGGCCACGCAGCCTCAACCTGTTGGGCTCCAGCGATCCTTCCGCCTCAGCCTTCCAAGTAGCCGGAATTACAGGCGCGCGCTACCACGCCCGGCGAATTTTTTATTTATTGTAGAGATGAGGTCTCACCAAGTTGCCCAGGCAGATCTCAAACCCGCTGGCTCAGGCAATCCACTCACCTCAGGCGCAGGATTACAGGCTGAGCCACTGAGCCCGGCTTGATCTCAGAGTTTTAAAGGTAGTTTCCTGCTTTAATAAAAATAAGTACTGATGTGACCCTATTTAAATTCTGTTGGAAATTTTCTGAAAGAAAATATAAATATGTTTGTGGTGATTTTAAACCTAGTATCCATGTTACATGCTTTTTATCTTAAGTTTGATAGCTGTGCTTACACTGAGAAGTTTCTCTAGATTATTCAGATGATTGATCTAGGTTAATGGATGGTCACATCTGAACTAAGAAAAGAGGAGGAAGTAAATTAAGATATAGTTGAAATAAAGATCTTTAGTTTTAAGAAAGATGCTCAGCTATTCTCTCTCTCTCTTTTTTGAGTTGGAGTCTCACTCTTGTTGGCCAGGCTAGAATGCAGTGGCACGCTCATGGCCACCACAGCTGGGCTTAGGCGATCCTTCTGCCTCAAGCTTCCAGGTAGCTGGAACTACATGCATGTCTCCATGCCTGGCAAGTTTTTTATGATTTATTGTAGAGGTGAGGTCTCACCAAGTTGCCCAGGCTGGTCTCGAACCCCCAGGCTCAGGCAATCCTCTCGCCTCGGCCTCCCAAAGTGCTGGGATTACAAACTGAGCCGCCACACTGGGCCACCTATTCTCTTTAACTGGATCCCAAGTTATCTTGACTCACAGAAAGGTTCTAGATTTTTCTTGCCATTGTATTTTCTTTTTTAAATTGTTTTGTTCCATGAAACTTCAAAAGTAGTTGTTTTCATTGTATCATTAAACTGTGTTTCAGAGAATTTAAGTCATTTGCCCAAGATTAACAGGAGGTAGAGTCAAATTTGATCTAACTCCAAACCCATTCTGTTTCCTCACACCAACTGCCTCCCTAAATTTCTGCCATGTTGATCATTCTCACTATTATGGTCTCTGATGTTTCTCCATGCTTAACCAAGCTTATAGAAAACAGTGTTGTTGTAATAAATAAATTGGGTAACTTCCTCAGAACAGCCCTTTCCCATAGAGCTGAAATAAGTATCCAATAGGGTTTGAATTTATCAATCAAACTTTTTAAAAAGGTTTCCTGTAATTAAAGTTGTTTTCTTTAGCCAGAATAGTATTAATTGGAATAAGAGAGTTGATATAATAAAGTTATAATAAATGTGAAGTAACTAAATCTCAGTTGAAGCTTAACTGCATGCAGTTATGAAACTTTAAGCTGAGCTGCCTTTTAAAGAACTATTAAGGGCCGGGCGTGGTGGCTCAAACCTGTAATCCCAACACTTTGGGAGGCTGAGGCGAGAGGATTGCCTGAGTCCAGGGGTTCAAGACCAGCCTGGGTAACTCGGTGGGACCTTGTCACTACAATTTATCCAAAAAAAATTAGCCAGTCATGGTAGGGCGCGCCGTGCCTGTAGTTCTGGCTACTTGGAAGGCCGAGGTGGAAGGATCACTGGAGCGCAGCAGGTCAACGCTGGGGTGGCCGTGAGTATGCCAGTGCACTCCAGCCTGGGTGACAGAGTGAGACTCTGACTCGGGGAAAAAAAAAGAACTATTAAGGAGAAAAATTTATTCTTAAGTTTCTATAATGATATTTAAGGATGAAATACAATGGGTAGACATTCAGAAAGTTCTTCTTAACTCACTGTGGCTCATTCTCTGCCTCTAATAAGAGAAACTTTACCCCAAATCTTTTATGGTTAATAAAAAATCAGTTTTTTTCCAAGATATGATAAAATTGGAGGAGGCTTTGACACAAAATTTTAAGATTATTTCAGTAAAATATTATAGCCTGTTATTTTACATTTGGATGGTAATTATTTCCATAGTTCAAAATTTAAGATGGTAGAAATCTTGCTTTTAGCCATGTCATTTCATGTAGTTCACACCCCTGTCTCCATAAGAAGCTAGTTTCTTGTTTATACCTTGACTGTTTGTTTGTGCATATGTAAGCAAATGTGAACATGAATCGTCTGACCTTTCTACATAAAAGATAAACACTATGCAGATTGTTCTAAGGTAATAACTGGAACTTTATTTTTTTCTTAAGTTTGATAGCTATGCCTGCTTACACTGTGAAGTTTTACTAGAATATTCAGATGATTGATTTAGGTTAATGGATGGTCACATCTGAACTAAGAAAAGAGGAGGAAGTAAATTAAGATACAGGTGAAATAAAGATCTTCAGTTTTTAAGAAAAATGCTCACCTATTCTCTCTTTTTTTTTTTTTTGAGTCAGAGTCTCACTCTTGTTGCCCAGGCTGAAGTGCAGTGGCAAGCTCCTTGCCACCGCAGCCTTGACCTGCTAGGCACCG